TTGATGATTAATTCTTGATATAACTTGGAATAATGAAAAAAATCAAGGCGGCGACGGTGGTTTGTTAACCGTCGGGTTCGATTTCGAGCTCGAAATTCCGGCGATTTTTTAACGATTGCGAGCCAATAATCGCGCTAATTTCCAAATGCCGGTGCTGGGGCGGCGTTCATTTCTCCGGTGGCAACAGCAGCGCGCGGGGTGAAACAAGGGAAAGGATTAAATTGCGAGCGTTCTCGCGTCGAATGATTCGTGGCGAGGACGTGCATCCCCTTCGCAACGGGCCGTGTACACTTGTAATTCCGTGGTACGTCGGTGTAACGGCCCGTGTCGTGAAATATCGGGCCGATTGCGAGGCGAGAGGGTCGCGAGCGACGAAAACCGAGCGCTGTTCCGTGCTCCCGACTAAGCGTCGGCTTCTCCGACTAACAGACACCGGTACGTGGTCGGTTTTAAATCGTCGCTATTTCGCGAGTCAAGGAGCCGGCTGTCATCCACAGCCGTCATCGATTTCGTGGCTCATCGTGCATGCGGCCGACGCGTATCGAAGAACCGGGATTTGCAAGTCAATTCGATAGAGCTACACGGATCATTGCCGAGCGGCATTCGTGTCGCTATTTCCAGGCACTGGCTACCACTGAAAACTGGGGCAGAGACAAAAACGTTCCTCAGGAACGTGCACAAACAAAAGATAAGCTCGATGCTATGATTCCATCAAGTGCGAATGTTTGTTCTATGCATATTTTCAACGTTTAAAACGGTCTGGAAGGGGTGGAAATTTTCGCCAGGTCACGGTCAACGTCGCCACGTTTAGCTTCGAGGGATGAAAGTTGCGGACGAAGGGACTTTTTACAGCACGACTGTTGCCTGTGTGTGTGTGTTTCTTTTTTTATTAATACATTCTCTTTTACGATCCAACCGACAGATGTTAAATTGTCCTCTTTCCCAAGGACAACTTCATATTTTCGAGGGTCGAAGGACCATGAATGTGAAATTAGGGGTGGGTTCTCCTTGGGGCTCGGGTTCACGTATGTCGAGCCTCGGACTTTATGCTCCCGTTTTCGCGAATAATCTAGTAACCGTGGCGCTACGCCGAGCGATTGCTCCTCTGGATTTCATATGAGAAAGCAGATTAACCCCTTCGAAAGTGATTTAAGTCGCGTTCAGTCGAGCGGAAGCTGGCCGCAATTAAAATTCCATGAAATCGGCGCCGAAAGACGCTACAAAATATTTATGAGATTCGTTTCTTTAAACGCGAGACTCTAAATGGAACGCTTTTTAAATTTGCGGATTGAGGGCGCGAATCGAAAGCGAATGAAGAACTACCCGAGGATCTTTTGTACGGGGATTAATGAGCGAAGTTTTGTCAGGTAATTGATTTGAATATCCGAAGAAGGACTCTCGAAAGAGGGAAGGGAGAACGATCGGGAAACGGTCGACGTATTTTCTCCGATAGCATTCTCGAGACGAAACGAGACGCTAACGGGGGAAGTGGCAGCCGAAGAATGGCGCAGACCAGAACGGAAGGCCCGGGGGATGAAATCGTCGAAAGGTCAAGCCACGGATGTCCGGAGGGAACCGAACAAGATTGGGAGACCGGGGGCAAATGGGGAAAGAGAACGACGGAAATGAGAAGAGGCGAAGTAAGACAACGCGACCTTTCTTTGCGCTCTTTTGTTTTGTCTGGGGCACACTCCCTCGCGCTCGCCGGGGGGGCACGAATTTATTCGGGCGTGAAGGATGCGACTGACAGCTGGAATTGTTATATCTCGAACGCGGTCCTCTGTGTTCATCGATCTTCGGCGAAACGAGCGCAACCGATTGGTCCGCAGACTTCGTTAAAACTGTCCGTCGCCTTGACCATTGTGTTATCGTAAATTTATACAATCCCTCTCTTTGGCCTCGCGAATTATTCAGACGGCTATAGCTGTATTACTTCCACTGCTGGACTTGGAATTATGGAACAATCATACAGTGCTGACAACTCTCAATTTTTTCCTCAACTGATGTCCCGACTGAACTTATTGAAAAAGTAACCTATATATTTGAATATGTTTAATCTACCTTAGTACACCTGTATACATCTACTTTCAGTTTTGCTTATTAAATAGTTGTGAAACTACTCCTGTGAAGAAGTTACTGGTGTTCTGCCAAGATTCGCAATTGTCCTTTTATTTTCCTAATTATTTTTATTTTCTTCCTATTTTTATTTTTTTTCCTATTAATTTTATTTTCGCAATTATCCTATTTATTAAATTTTGATTTAATGAAACGAAATTAGAATTTAAACTTACCTACTCCTGTGAAGAAGTTACTGGTGTTCTGCCAAGATTCGCCATTGTCCTTTTCTGATGTACTCCTCTTCGAAATTCTGTAATCAATTAATAGTAAATTAAATAGGATAGAGGCAAGAATTGATCAGAAATTGGAATTTTCAAACGCACCTATTTTTGAAGAAAGCGCCGAAATACTGTTAAAAATGATAAGTGGCGGTTATAAAGCCCTGTGAAGTCGCCGGAGCGACGCAACGACGAAGTCGACCGGTCCGATGCCGCCATGATGAATGGCAGTGACAGTTTCATCGATGCCATCGCCGGACGAAGTTCTCATTTTCCAGCAATAGTCGATACATATAATTCCTTTTTGCAACCAACTCTTATTATATATTCTGCCATCGTTTCGACATAAAGTTCCACTTAATTAGTTATAGAAACTGACTATAATATCCACTCTCCAAATACATATGTATAATCTTACCTTTTCCAAGCTCCCGGGAAGAATAATGGCCGCCAATAAATGCAAATATGTTTCTATGTAAAGTGTAACGGATTTTGTGCCAATAGTCGGCATTCCGAAACAAAATCATGAGGTACAGAATTAATAAATGCAATATAACTACCCATAGAATTGACGAACGAAAGTAGAACTCTAAAGGTACGAAGCCTGTCCACATAATAAATGATACGTTATAAATTGCCATAGACGGCTTTACCTGCCACCTCTAGGATGCAAATTGAATTATAGGTTGCTCAGAGTCTACTAGAGTATTTGTGTTGAATGAAATGAAACAATGACTCGTATTGTATGTGTTTCATACAAGTTTGATAACTGAATTTGAAACACGATTAACTTCCCCGAGGAAGGTATGATTGTTGCTAACAAATTCCATTAAAGAGTTAAATGTCTAAATGAACATTCTAGAACTATTACTGAAAGATAAAACTCCTGTTTCTTGCAGCAAGAACATTATCTCTTTGGGAAACCTTTTCTGCAGATTTTATGAAAATGTTATTCTGAAGTGTACACATCCAGAGAATTGGAATTAGAATAAGAGAAAAAGATTTATTAAACAGTAATGGTACCATTTATGTTTTTAGGTACATTAGAGAGTCTAGCAGCTCTCAAAATCAGTGGTCGTCGCGCCCTCTACCTGAACAGTGCAGACAGATAGTGAACTACATAGGACTATAGTACAGCAAGTTAGCTTCAATGAAATGTCTCACACAAATTGTTGACACACACAATTCAAAAGAATTTCTTACTAACTTAAATAATTATAAACCTCGTGCGTACCGTATCAAAAACATTGGATTGTGCTAGTAAATGCGCATTTGGTATGTATTTTTTTTAACAGTTTCAATACCGTTATCTATTGCTACACTCGTTCTCTTATCTGTGTACATATATGTAGGTGCGCACGACTAGTACGAGAGAGTCGGAGCATAACCAAGAGCATACACATTGCCAAACCGGCACGTAAAGTGTGCGTGCAGGCTCGTCTTCGTCTACGTATGCAGGTGAAGAGGCGCGTATGTACACGATGACGAGCCACGTACGTGATGGCGACGATGAGTGGGCGTGACGTGTACGTACACGCATTACACGCATTCCTCGAGTAGTTTCTACACCGCGAGGCTCCCCGAGGATCAGGGTATCATCTGAGACGCTGAGATCGACGGGTCCGCAAATCCGCAACCTTCTGTTCCGCGTCATTTCATTCATCGCGCGACCGGTCATTGAGACTTCCCATGAGACTTCCCCTTTCATCAGTCAAATATCCAAAACTTTTGCCACTTCACCTACTGCAAAACAAAATTAACAGACTGCTAATTTTGAGAAAGAGATAACTTGTTGATTTATGAATGAACTTTTGCCGACGTCATTGAAAACTTTATTAAGAGATTCTCAAATGTTAATCTTTTTGCTTGTAAAAATCATTGCAAAAGTATGTAAAGTGTTAAACAGTTTATGGATATCGCCAGGCTTCTAATTTTTGGGACACATGGTAAAACAGAATTTATTCCAATGGCTACAATCAAATCAATAGAACATAGAGTTAAAATCAGCATCCAGATTTACAAATTTGCATATTCTTAAGACAATTATTGCCAGACTGTTTGTATATTAAATATCAGAATAACGTGCAGCTGTTCGTGCATTGTTTCTAGGAAGAAGCAGCTAGAGGTCGATCGATTAACCGGAGCGAGAAAATCTCTCGGTGTTCCTCGGTCACGAGAAAATGACGTGTTTTGCCGGTCGATCGTGGGGCAGGCCAGTTCTCGGGGACCCCCTATATCAGACTTGTAGGATATACAAAGAGCTTATCATTAAGTTATCAGTGTATTCTGTATTCCTGTCCAGAGGTCACGGTTCTTTACTCGGCGAAGAGGAAGTGTAGGAGGCTACAGAGAAGGCTACAGTATTCAGAGGTTCCCGCGTTCGAGGAGTGTACCGCGTTTTCTAGATAGAATTCTAGATAGATCTTCCTGCATATTCTGCACTCCTATTGAAAGGGGAGCGCTGCGGAGTGGCCGCTCCGCGCATCACTGCGCCCCCACTATTCTTCACGCACTCGTAAACCGCGTATATACGAATCATGCTCACCTTTCAAAACCTTTCTGTCCACGATTATACTGCCTTCTATTACTGAATATCAACAAGCAGCTTGTTGTCAGTCCGCTAGATCGCGTCGCTTTAACAGCTTTCGTTCCGTCGCAAAAAAATCTATTGTTCCCTTTTGATTAATCCGATCGCGATTCACCTACGTCGTTGTTTTAATGTATTTGAAATCCGGTTTCATTGTCGTTCAATTTTAATTACAGATTTCCTCATTGCGATGCAAACACTGGCATAGGAGTCAAACAGCCTGCTCAAAACCAGTGCAATCATCGTCGATTCCTTGTCGCTCGCAGTGGTCATTGTGAGTTGGGAGCAGTAATATGACAGGAAGTAAGGTAAATTTTCTTTCAAAATTGTGGTCCATGGTCATTGTGTTATTTATTCAGATTTAGAAAATTGGTGTCAAATTATCCTCTTCGATTGCACGATCATAAAGGTGGATTAAAGGGATGCATGGCATGTATCGTGTAATGTACGGTGGAGAGGATGTACGATTATGTTTTATTGAGAATAAAGTTATCTCTATAAAAATTTAGCTAATTGGATCCGACGTCGACATGGTTGCAACTGTGATGAATTTCGACGGATGCATGAATCGTTCGGGCCTGGTGACAACGTGCAATTGACTCGATTCGTTTCATTCAAGGCCAGTATCAGAGCTTCCAAGTATTTATATATATATATATATATATACATATACATATATAAATAAATGCATTGTAGAGGCGATTCTTCGTGTTCCTAGCGTCCTATTCCTGTGGAGTTCATTGGTACGTTTCCACGGTTTTACCACGACCTAGAAACTCATTATCCGCCTTTCCTGCACTGCTTCAACCTCCTCGATGGTTATGCTACCCGAGTAAACCGACGACTCTAGTCGATCGACAAAAGTGTTTTGTGGCAGTAGCAACTCTACTCTCCGTACTATCTCGCGTGCAGATTTTTGTTATGGACGATAGAGTCCACCAACTATGAACATATTTAGCTAATATGCCCATACCTGACAATTAACTAATTTAATATAGTTACGGAGAAACAATGTTGCATGGTACATGCATAAATTGCACTAAATAATTTCGGTAATTACTTACAAAAAGGTACATGTATCGATTTCAATGACCTTGAAGTATATCATAAAAAGGTCAATATCCTGAGTGATTTTGCTTATATGTACGTATATATATAATCGTTGCTCGTTTTTGGTTCCATAGATATGTTTGAAAATATTTTTAATACTGTTTATTGTATTGTTGCAGGGTTTACATTAGATTACAAATTTGACACACTATACTATAGCATCGAGATCAGATCATAGCAAAATGGCGTCGATTTCGAATTTTTAAGTGGAGTCGTTCTTCTTACAGCTCCTAATCACGTGAACGGATTAGTTGAGGATTGTTAGAGTAAACAAGATAATAAACGACTAATGGCATTGTCATTGTCTAATAAAATGTAATAATACGAAGTTCCGTGAATCGATTAAACGATTCGAGCTTGTTTTCGTGGGAACGGTGAAGTATATTGTTTGCTCGCGAGTCGTTTCTATGTACATTGGTATGCGCATTAATCGCAATAATCATTTCATTTTTATTATAATGCGTTCTATCTTAAGAGATTTCTATTTTTATACCGGCAGAGGAGCGCCGCCGCCGCCATCTGTGAACCAACAGGAAAATTCTTTATACCAGTTGTCTTGTGCTTGTGCACGACCTCGACTCTGGATTTGTGTGTTCTAGAAGAAATGGACGATCGTTTCTACAATGTCCAATGCAAAAGGTATTTTTCGACGCTAATCTTAGATCGAACGATCAATTAAATACTGAGAATCTTCTATTCAAAGTCGGTATGGGATGTTCAGTTAATTTTTTGTACACCAGACTGTCGCGCGCCAATGTCATAACTTGATAATCTCTTTAATGTTCCTCCGCAATCTGTTGTTTCACCGTGGTCCAAAGTCTCTCGAAGCCCGGCAATCTTTATCTGCAATGATGTTCTCAAGTGTTCGTCCTGTAACATGCACTGAACGTCTGACAGATAGTGAATAGTTGAAACTCTAGAAAGCAGTATATTATTCAGTGGGTATAACATATACTATTATTATTTCGGTTGTTTTCTGTACCTTTACAGGTAACTGTGTGTCTTTCATATCCGTTGAAGTTTCCCAGAGACCTACAAGTACAAATTAAGAATATTAGTTTTATTTGCTACAGAACAATTGGGCAACATGCTCTCCAATTGCGGTGATACAACTGATGCAACTGGTAATTATCACTGTACTATGCAGACGACTGGTATTATAAAAAAGAATTCAGAACTTACATTATGTTTTAGCTCCTTTACAACCAACAATTATAGAAGGTATCTCCAGCACAGACAGTGTTGGTACACACAGCGACATTTCTGGGCACACTACCATCTCTGGAAGACCTAAAATGGATGTGGCTTGTGTTTTGGATCTACAACAACCGGAGCATATAGCTCAGAGGAGGAAAGCACTAGAGGAAGTCAGACAAGCTTGCAACCTTGTTAATGCTAATATGCATCATATACAGGTATAACATCATCTTTTACCGAGTCAAACTAATATCATTTGTACAAATGCAATCGACTACGTAAAATTAAATAAAAATATGCTTCCATAGTTTGAGAAGCTAGACTTCGGGGAGACAAATGTGTTAGATACATTCTACAATGCAGATGTAGCTGTAGTGGATTTAAGTATACAGCTGCAGCAATCTGCTTTATTCTATCATCTTGGTGTCAGGGAAAGTTTTGGTATGAAAGAAAATATTTTGCTGCATAATGATATGGACTCTGAAACTACAATTAGGCTCAAGGTACATCTACTGTTACCTCTAGAAATTTATTGGAAAGCATTTTAACTAATATGTTACATTTAAATGTGTAGTTGTCGTGTGGAAGCTACACATTTGTCTCATACCGTATGGTGGACTGTGGTTCATGTGTAGCTACAAATCCAACCACTACAAGAATTACCGGGGAGGAAGCTATAGATCCAAAGCAACACCTAACGTTGAGGCTTAAGAAACTGTTCCAAGATGTTGAAGTACAATCCAAGTATGTCTGTATTCTGTATTTTTGTATAGACAAGAAAATCAAAATTTCTGTTACAAATTCATTTAATATTGTCAGAGCACACATGAAAGAGAAGTTCCTAGCAGACTTGCGGAAAGCACGAGAAACATATTCGGGCGAGGAGCTTTCAAAGGCTTTGAACAACATGCGCAAACGTTTGGACGACCCAAACGTCCTTTCGGGAGAAGTTGTCTTAAACGTTCTGATTTCTTTCCGAGAGATACAGGCAAGACAACTATATTTCGTTGCAAAAGATGCGTCATTAAGAATTGTTTTTAATCATTTTGTTCTATACTTAGGATTATGATGCAATGGTACAACTGGTCGATGACCTGAGGACTATACCAACGCACAAAAATTATATCAATACCCCCGCGATCCGGTACCTGTACGCGTTCGCACTAAATCGAAGAAATAAAGAGGGCGACAGAGAAAGAGCGCTGAAAGTTATAGAAAAAGCTCTGGAGAAGAAAGAAAATCATGTTCCGGACATGTTGTGTCTTTGTGGAAGAATATACAAGGATAAATTTGTGGAAAGTAGACATACGGATGAAGAAAGTTTAAACAACGCTATTCATTGGTATAGAAAGGGTTTTGAGGTACGTCGACTTTTATTTTTCAAGCAAATGGTCATCATATTATGTACCTTCTTCTAATAAAATTATTTTGTACCTAGGTGCAACCAAACGAATACGCTGGAATAAATCTCGCCACGTTGCTAGTTATAGCAGGGAACGAGTTTTCAAAAAGCGAGGAATTGCAGCACATAGGCATGGTGTTGAACAATCTCATTGGCAAGAAAGGGAGCTTGTCGAGTTTAAAAGACTATTGGGACGTAGCCACCTTCTTTGAAATCAGTGTGCTGGCCGAGGATTACTCTAAAGCTATTCAAGCAGCCGAGTGCATGTTCAAATTGAAGCCGCCAAACTGGTACGCATAAATTCGTTCATTAATTATCATACGTTCGTATAAAAATCGAATTTGTATTTACTGATGATACGATGTTTTATTCTTAGGTACCTGAAATCGACGATAGGAAACATAATGCTGATAGATAGGTTCCGTAAAAAGAATGAGGAAGCAGAGGTATCGCCAGAGGAGCAAATATTTAGTTTTTGGATGGACTACTTTGTCGAAGCGACGAAATCGGAAGTCGGCGATAGTATACGGTTTCCAGTAAGTTGATAAATGGAATCGTTCTACAAAGGATCCAGTTTCCAATTCGGGAGACTATGGCTTATAATATTGTGTTACCAATCCAGCTTACTTCTGTACATTTTGGGTCAAAGTAAGAATAATATAAAACTGCTCTTAGTGCAGGTCCTTAGCTTGACTTTAATCAATCAATCTTTTAAGAAGACGCGCGGTTAAATGAAAAAACGAATTGGTCACCGATCGTTCGTTTTCAGCTCTTAGTGCTGGAGCCGACCAAGATCTTCATGCCGAGCTATGTGAACGTTAATCTCGGGGCAGAGGAGAAGTCTGTTCAGATTTGGAACTTGTGCTTGGACAACATGAAGAGCAATTGCAAGCAAGTCCACGATTGGCTCTTCACCGCGAACATGATACGCAGCGTGAGTCTGTATAAGCGAGATGAACGATGTCTTTTTTTGTACGTTCATCAAAATTCCGATGATTTCCAAATGTACTTCCCCTCGGTTCAATGTAGACAGAGGTTTTACGACTTGATTCTGGAAATGACCAGAGATCAGGAAGGTATGGTCACTGATTTGGACGCCTACATGACTGATGAAAGGATGAAGGTTTGTGGGATATCTATTTATATCCTTATTCTATCTGTATTCTCGTATCATCCACATTCCGTTGTAACTACGAAACGTATCATGTATATTGGTGCATATTTATTAATATTACGTTTATTCTAGTTTGAATACGAATTGGATGATCAGAGCAAACGAATGATCCTGGGTAAAGGTACGTACGGCGTTGTCTATGCAGCTCGGGACCTAAACACTCAAGTCAGAATTGCAGTCAAAGAGATACGCGAAAGAAATTTAGGGGATGTGCAGCCGCTGCATGAAGAGATTAAATTACACAGTCAACTGAGACATAGGAATATCGTGCAGTACTTGGGATCAGTAAGTGAGAATGGATACTTCAAAATCTTCATGGAACAAGTCCCTGGAGGTAAACGAATCAAATAAAATGTTCTGTTAGAAGGAAGATGTATAGTGTATATTTATTCAGTTTTTAATAACTACAGGCAGTTTGTCAGCCTTGCTGAGATCAAAATGGGGCCCGCTAAAGGAAAACGAGTCCACGATTGCTTATTATACCAAACAGATTTTGGAAGGCCTTAAGTACCTCCACGATCAAAAAATTGTTCATCGAGATATCAAAGGTGAATTAATTAATTTCTAAATTCTACAATTATATAGTATCGAGAATTTTGAATACTTATTGCTACTCATCTCCAGGCGACAATGTTCTGGTGAACACATACAGCGGTGTAGTCAAGATTTCAGACTTCGGCATGTCGAAACGATTGGCCGGTTTATGTCCCAGCACAGAGACATTCACTGGTACGCTTCAGTACATGGCACCAGAAGTGATCGACAAGGGACAACGAGGATACGGTGCACCTGTAAGTTATATTTGCTGCGTATAATTGCATTTCAAACGAAATTTAATATAAATAATTTAATATAAATTGTAGGCAGATATTTGGTCTCTGGGTTGCACCATAGTAGAAATGGCCACTGGTAAACCACCATTCATCGAGCTGGGTTCTCCTCAAGCTGCTGTCTTTAAGGTAACATGTTCAAGTATTTAAAATGTAGATCTTTTTGAAAATGATTCGTTTTTAATAGGTTGGATATTATAAAATACATCCGGAAATTCCGTCCGAACTATCAGACAGAGCCAAAAGCTTTATTCTGCGTTGCTTCGAGCCGAATCCTGACATAAGAGCTTCCGCAGCCGAATTATTGGAGGATCCATTTTTAAATGAGTATGTAATATATATAAATTAATTGCTACATAAACAAATATAAATTCTTACATATAGGTACGTTCATAGGAAAAAGAAAGCCAGTCGATTGGTGGCTCCACCAGATTTTAGTCGTAGCATCTCTGTACCTGCTGACAGGCTTGAACGCTTAGGAAAATTCGACAAAACAAACAATAATCACATCGTTTCCACGGCACCTATACAAACCTCACAATCGGACGATAGGTAATGAAACTATTTTATTCACGCGATAATGCAAAGGGTCCTGTTACGGATTTTAATGATCAGTATTTTGTCTGGCCTAATCATTAAAACAAGTCTTTTTATGTACATGTCGACGTAGCTTATTGTGATAGTTGAAGCTAATTTGAACAGGTTGTTTTTGTTTAGTCAATAATAAATCTGAATACATCGCATATACAATGTATTTCGAATTAGTCCTGTTATGTCAAACATCGTCTGTTTCTTTGTTGTTGTTTTTTTTTTGAATAATTATATTATTCAATTCTTATTGACTCTTTATTGTGACAAAATGTAATCGAAGTGTTACATACAGTGGAGGGCTGACAAAGTCTAGCCCACTGAGGGAGCGCAGTCCAGCACACCTTCTGTCTCCCATCAGCATGCCCACTGCAACCTTATCTTTTAACAGGTATGGTGCTAACGTTATAAAAGGTTAATCCATTCCACTTAAAGTATCGCTACTAAAAGAATTAATGTTGTAATAGGCAGAAAAAGTGATCATTAACATTAGTTATGGTGTGCATAAAATTAATACAATCGATTCAACGCTTTGTATCGTCACGCATTCATGCAATAGGGGCAATGGAATTTCCTGTTGGTGATTGTAACATGTGCAATGTAAAACTCGAGAGTCAAATCCCCAAGCAATTTTTCCATTACTTCTGCGTCTAAGTGGCCCTCAGAAGTTAGTCCATACGCTGCCGTATTCCGAGCCAATAATACCGTGATCTGAAGCTTGATGTACTAAGCAAGTACAATGAAAACGTACTAAAAACAAGATTATGTAATACTGTACATATGCTTCTCAATCATACTTGTACAGACTGTCTCGAGCTAGTGTTTCGAATTTACTCCCAGCTTCAGTGAGTGTTATATGTATTCAGGTTTATTTCCAATCAGAACAACTGCCAGGAAATGTTCTTGCCCTTGTGACACGTGCGTCACGCAACTGAGAGCTTAAGGACACGGACGCAAATAGGACGGATAATTAATATCGATTCCTTGTGTTTCTAGTACAATAGGCAATACACCTTCCGTAGAAACAAGCGAATCGGAGACGGCGGGTGTTTCGATGACTAGAAGAAGCTCTTCCGGGGGTTTACTATCACCCGAAGTTGAACTGGGAGGTCAGTGGCCACAGCCAGCTTCGCAATTTTTAACTTTTAACCGGAAGCCCATCGACAGTTAATAATTAATCTTTGGACTATTAAGTCATCTCTGGCGAATAAAATGTTCAGAGATAATTTAATTTTTGCATTTGGTTATATCTTTTACAGGCCAGCCAGGTCAGAAGACTGGCGAAGAACAAGAAGGCTTTTACTTACTGAAAAAAGATAGTCAGAGAAGAATGACGCTCACCAGAGTCCTCACGCAGGACGAGGCGAAGATCTGTGAGGTGTGGATGAGAGGTATACATCAGGCAGAGGGTCAAACTGTTCTCCAATTGGTAATTACTATTATACCTGTCAATACACGAAGTAGATGCTTCGAATAATGAATTACTCTTTCTTTTTAGAGTCATCTAGTATTATTAATGCGAGCTCTGAGGGATTACATAGCTGAACAAAATCATGAAGTAATAGTAACGGCTATTAGAACGTTGAAAGAAGAATTAGACTTCGACTCCATTGCTATTAATCACCTGAACCAAGCCATTTATCTTTTTCAAACGGCAGTAAACGAAGTCCTGCGAATGCACAGTATAAAACCTCACTGGATGTTCGCGTTGGATAATTTAGTTAGAAATGCTGTTCAGGCGGCCATCACTGTACTTTCTCCTGGTAATAATCTAGTCGTTATTGTATACTTTTAAGCGCTGAAAGTCGTTTGCCTCCATATTAATGTTCATCAAATTATTTTTAGAACTCGGTGCTAATTTGTTGGGCCAAGAACGAGTACAGCCGGGTGGCCAAGGACCCGAGGAAGGATCCACATCCGGTGTGTCCACGGTGAATTCTGTAAAGTCACAGAAAACCGGAGATTCCATCGACAATAGGTACTGGAAGGAGTATCGAGATCAAATGGGAGACTTGAAGATGGAGAACATGAAATTAATCCAAGAGTTAATCGATAGTCAAAAAGCCTATCAAGTCCTACTACAGCAAGCGTTTGAAGAACAGAAAGTTCAGATTAATACCCTAACGCGGCTTTGTGAGAATATCAACAGGAGAACCACAAGGCAAGAATCAGGGTACGTTACATATTTCCAGGCTTAAGATTTAATTAAAATAGGTTTTTCAATGAATGTTGAATAATTTCTTAGAAAATCCTGGTGACATATTCTTATACTTACAGATACACCTCAACTGTATCGGGAAATACATCTAATATATCAGTTCCAGTAATTATCAGTGACGCATCTTCCGAGGTAGCTTCAGTTGTCGATGAAACTCTTGTAGAATGGTTGCAGAACCTGCAAATCGATGAAGCATCAATTGAAAGGGTAACTATCACATTCTTATCACATTTAAGCGTGTTTATTGGACGTGTATACTGAGTCATCAACTATTCTATTGTCGTTTGCAGATTACGTACGAACAATACACGTTAGACGACTTTCTGAATCACATTACCCGTGACGACATTCGAAGACTTAATTTGAGGTACTATGACGTCTTTATTTCTATACCTTGCAAAAAATATTCGGTCGAAGCGTGAACTTGCTTGTTGAATAATTGCTTACGAATAATTCTACCGACGGATGCTTGATTCATTTGACCGATTATATTTTGTCAAGGATGTATGTTCTTCGCAGTGATAAATTGTTTTTTCAGGGGAGGGATCGAGCTCAGGATATGGCAAGCGATATCAAAGCACCGACGGTAGAGCAAATAAGCCAAAAACGACTCCGTTTTTAACACAACAGTAAAATTGGTCAACTTTATGCAGGGTAAAATAGTTGTTCAAAAAAAAATGTGGCTGCTACGGAATGATGACGGACAATGAGCAGAGTTATTGGGTGGTTAAATAATTAACGAAACACCCGTCTCGTTCGTTAGTACTCCGTGGACTAAACGAATGCAGCGTTTTTAATGCACAAAATGATATTATTAGTTTACCTTGTAGTTCCTAATTATAGATTATTTAATAGTCACGAAACAAGTGTGTACATAGGAGAAATTTTGCATATATATACTGATTCGTTGAAAGATGAAATTTACCGGATTCGTTGAGAGTAGGATCAACGGAGCTCGTGCTGCACAGAGAGAGAGAGAGAGAGAGAGAGAGAGAGAGATCAGTATTCTCGCGTCGAAACAAATTTATTCAACTCGTTAGATTAGAGTTTCCGATCTTGCCAAGTTTAAGGAATCGACATCGTTCAGAGGGGGAGGAGAATGTTATTCAAATTTATCGACGCTACTGCCAGGAACGATTGATATTATCGGGGGAAAAAAAAAACAGTTACATGTGAAAGATTGCCTTGTTTGTTCGTTCCTTGTATTCTTGAACGACTATCAGCCACGAGAAGCCGCAGGGCAGGCTAACATGAACCGTAGGAGCAAAGCGAGGATCGTAGTGCCTTATGAACCAGTGTAATAGTACAAGAGAAGATATTTATTACGTGCAGACGATCACGTCTCGTTATTGTATTTCTAGATTCTGAAGGGTGTATGCGTCACCTTCGACGCACACGTAAATGTTCTTGTAGTCGTGTGCATACCGCGCATGTTGCACTTCGAAATAGACTGCGGATCCTCACGCGAACTCTCATTCTCGCAGCTTGTTTCATAACCGGACTGCTGATTTTTATGCAAAACTCTGCAGTCCACTCGTAAGCAGGAAGATGGTTTGCAGCCGAAACGAAGTTAGACAACTGCTGAACTGCATAAAGGTCCGCAATCTGGTAACAGGGGGGTTCGCTATTACAGCGTCAGAAGTTTACCATACGTTTCGCCGATTTTTGTAGATACCGATTTTTATATAACGACAGATGTTTTGCTTTCTTGTGCAGCTGTTCGCGCGCACAGAGAACTCATGCTTCCTTTCTACATTGTTTAAGCTAACAATCAGCAGTGTCTTCTAGCGCCTGAATACAACGATAGACCGTAATCACGCGAGTCAATTGATACAAGTGCCTAAACGCATCAGGAATTAGCGCAACGTCCGTTCATTTTAATTACTTCGCCAATGCGTGTCGCTCCGGAATCAGACGCTGTTCGAAACAAGTAGAGGATGCTTCGCTAAATTAACCATCGTCTGCCCATCTTTCCAGATGCAATTGATTATGCATTCGCAGCTGTACTATATTCGTTGCTTCTAACAAGCGTGTTGGTTCAGCTCCTTTAATTATTTCGAGCAGCATTCTAATAATCGGAAGGCTTTCAAATTATGGAAGATCATCTGCCAAGATATTGCAATTGCGTCCGAGTGTTGTGCCGATAATAAACGTGGACGAGAATACCACGACTAATCGTTAAGACGTTCCCATTGCCGTTCCCATTCACTGTACTCGTTAAGATTAATTATCTCCGTTATTCTTACAGGCTGAAATTTTTAATAAAGATTCCAGCGGGCAGACAGCGTGTCTTTTTTCGTTTTCTCTGATCCTCGAGTTAGAATAAGGGCCGGCTTCGCGGTGAAATTGGGAAACGAGCATGCAATCCATTTTCTTGCATCAACATTTTTTTAATTAAATCGTTTTGCCCGAGGTATTTTAATTTGCGAGTTGTTCGTCAGACTGACAAAATGGTAAAAAATCGAAAGACGTATAATTAAATTTGCTTGTTTGTATAAAATTAATATGGTGGCCAGATGAGGGTTGAGAACGTTTTCTGAATTAATGCTTCTGGGGAACGACTAGTGTATAAAAAAATATAGAGTCTCTGAAATCGCGTGAATCGTGTTGAAACAGGTAATTGATTTCGCCCCGACTACAGCCCTCGCATTGATATGGATGAGGCGTTCCCTCCTTATCCGGTTGTGACGCTCCGTTTAAAAGATAAGCCAAATAGATTCGCAGCTCATCGACAGGGAAAGCCTCGTCGCGTCCTCCAGGCTTTTCTTTTTTCCGGCAGGATTATCCTTGCGATACGATCTGCTCTCCGAAGGGGCGGGCTTTCTCGTCAAGCTTTCAACACACGATCGCTCGAGGTGTTCCGGGAGCTCGCAGGGCAGACAGGTCGAAATTTTCGTCAGGAAAACGAAATGCAACGGGCGAGAGAGCCGGCCGACGCCCAAAATTGCTAAAGTTTCGGCCGAGGGTCGGACCTATTCATTTGCACTACAAAAAAGCCGGTGGCTTATAAACGCACCCCCTCGTACCAGCCGTTTATTTTCACTGTCGGAGCCCCCGCTTTTTTCCCTCCTTTTTCCTCTATACCCCCTATTCGTCCCGATGCATTCGGCCGCGTGCAATCCACCCCCGGCGAAACGTGTTTAACCGAACAAACTACGCGTCCGTTGGAGAAATTAATCGCATTTGGCCTCTCGAAAGGTGCTCCTATTGTAAAGAAAGCACAATACAGCGGACCCATCGTTGCTTAACAATTTGTTGAAAAAATAATAATAACCGAATCGATGTGTTAACAGCGAAAATTATCTTTTATTTTTATCTTCGGTGCTCGCACCAACGATTTTTTTCGAAACAGTATCTGCGAGGGTTGGTATCTCGGGGTGGAGATCATATTTTGTACGCATCCCGTCCCTCTTTCATTTGTTATTGCACCGAGAAACAATATCCACTCCTCTCCCGAATCTTCCATCTCAATTATTCGTCGATATTCCGTTATTATCACCGTTGCCTAACTTCGATTGTCGGGGATGATGAAAGCCCCGACGCCCGTTCTATGGAAAACCGCGTCGGAGGGACGCTCTTCCCCAGAGTTCCCGGTGTATTTCGATGCTGCTGCGTATATTTTTTCGTGCTATCAGGCCGATTCGAGAGACAGCGACTGTTATTACAGTCACGGCAAACATCTCGCCCTCTTGCCACCCTGTTTATCATTAGCGATTCCATTAGGGAATCGAAGACCCACGATCAACCCCGGCTTCCCAAATATAAATGTTAATGTTCCGCCGTCGGGTTTCCGCATAAATTACGGGCGTCGCGAAAAATTCACGAAACGACTGCGGGGGCTGGGTAAATACCCGCAGTTAATAGACGGCGCGATTGCAACCCCCGACGACCGGCTGCATTCGCTTCCTTCGGCGAACGCGTCGCCTCCTCAATTACGCGCACACATTCGGCACTATAAATATTTATTCTCGCACTTTTTAACATGCCAACTCTACCAATGCTTCGCGATCTCTCCCCTTGACATCAATTCATCCTGAATCATTATGACATTAGATTAATATTAAATTACCCTGGCATCGAATTTCATTTTTGATCTCTTCAAAGTGTATTTGTCTTTCGGAATCTTCTCCGAGAGGGTACGTCGGATACATAAAAATATACAGAGGGCACCGGGATAATATTTCGATTACACTTCCGAAGGGAGAAGCATCGTTTCCCGGAAATATATAACGGCTCCGCGACACAGAGATTAGGGGTAACTCGGATCGAACGTTCCAAGGGAAAGTCGTTCGTAATTTCACGGAATGGATTACCGGGTTCCGTAGTCGCAAATGAAACGGCGCAAACATCCACCGGGATCGTGGTGCGAGAACGTGGAAGGGTTGCTTTGCCACGATCAGGATACAAATCCCGGGCACTCCGGAGCCATCCCTTTCGGCTGCGCCCTTCGTCCCACCCGCGGTCCTTCTTTCTCTCTTTACCTTTTAATTAACTAACTGCGCACGGCGGAGTAACTAAAGAGGATCCACGATTTTCGAGCACGAGGCTTTCAGCGCCGCCCGAAATAATCCATTTTCCCGAGTGAAAGGCTAAATAAGATTATCGCGTCAGGTCCCGCCGCTCTTGGTCATAAGGGACGAAAAGAGAGAGAGAGAGAAAGAGAGAGAAACGAAGGGTCTGTATCTGATAATCCCTTTCGCAATTTCCTCTAATTGACTGCGATTCTTATTCGGCGCGATCGAATCGACGAATTCTCTTCGAGAAAATCGTCCGGTGTTTGCTGTCAATAAATTAATCCTCGACCGATCTGGACAAGGTCAGCGTCATTATACTCGCGTGATATCATCGTCCTATCTCTCGGAATTCGCGTCTTCTTATCATCTCCTCTTTAAAGAAAAAAGAAACGTCTTTCAGGCAAAGAAAGATTTTCTCCCTCGGAAGCTTCGGCACGCCGTCGTCGGTTTCTTAGCAACAAATTAAGGATTTTAAGCCGAAAGTAATTAGTCCCGGCGAACAAGGTGTCACTCCGTGGAAACGAGGAGCCGGGCCGAGGAGTCAGGCCCCATTGTTCTCGGGCATAATCCTCTGGGAACGTTCATAAGTTCGTCCCGCTCGTCTGCGTCGAAGAAAGCGCTCGGGAAAGGATGATTCCGGTTCTCGGACAGATTAATCGTCATATCGACGGAGGCTCTCCTCCTTTTTTTCCCGCCCTCCTCCTTCTTGCCGTCTGGCTTCGCGACGACGGTGATTTCCAGCGAGAAACATCCCTTTTTCCCTAAGAAACGACGGAGAAGACGCCGTCGTCGAACGAAAAATCCCGCACGTCTACCAGCAACTTCCCAGAAGACTGTTCGAATAATCCCGGAGGAATCGTAATTTCTTAGTTTCGATTCGATTAATTCATTCTCCTGGAGGAACGAGGCGGCGGGCCGCCTCTGTCTTTCCTCGGGGAGGAATTAAGATATTACAAATTGCTCTCATTCTCACCCTCCAGCGCTCCGTCGAATTTCTTTAGCGCCGGGCACGAGGGGTCCGCGGTAAAAGAATGGGCCTCGCGCCGCGACCCCGGGTGCTATTCATACGCACCTCGCCGGCGTAATAATTCATACGGACGATTTAATTAAACGGCATCTATGCGCTTTTAAATTAGAGAAGATTGAGGGCGATCTCTGCGGGGGCGTGTCTAAGAGAGAAAGACAGAGAGAGAGAGAGAGAGAGAGAGAGAGAGAGAGAGAGAGAGAGAAAGGAGCCGTGGGTCTCGAGGCTGGTTAGAAATTAGACCCCCGTTGGCAACTTCTGCCGGGCTGCGAACAGCCAGTGGACCGATATTGAATCGCGTCCGCACCCCTTTCTCGTCTCATAACGCGAGACCCGGGCTCGCGAGGCAACAGATGTACCTGATACATATTCATATCCGGGCTCACGGGGCTCTCCGCGTTATTGTTACTGTTATTATTGTCGGGCCCGAGACAGTCGGCCGTAATGGCGCCGAGAAGGAACCTCCGACTGCTCCCGGTTCCCGCTCTGACCGCGGCTAATTTCAGCCCCCGACCCCCGATTACGGTTATCGGCGTCGCCGGCAGCGGCACCCTTCTCGGCGGTGTCTTCTCTTTACGAGCCGCAACGTTCGCCATTTTTTTCCCGCGAAAGATCCCGCGCGGATTTTCCGCCGGGCGAATTCGAGAATCGGCGCTCTGGCCCGAGCCGGCCCGAGGGGGAGGTGGCGGAGAACTGCGGAGAAAGTTCGTCGACAAAAATATCGCCGGGGATTGCAGGAAATCCGTGAAACCGCAGAGGATCGAAGTTTCCCCCGGCGAGGGTCGGATTTTCTGGTTACGCAGCCGGACCGGCGAAACGAAGCCAGCCGGAAGTTCGAAACTTCTCCATAACGCGGCCGAATTAATGGCAATTAATGGCAGCCGTGTTTGCCGGTCGGCTGTACACAAGGGCCTGTTTGCGCAGCCAGCTCTCGGCGGCTCGCGGGCCGCGCAGCAACGCGTAAATCTCCACTCTCGTTTTCGTAGCCAAGACGGGGCACGGATCGAGGGTCCTTTGACAGCGTCCGACAAACAGACCCTAATGAATTGCTTGTTATTCGAAAGCGGGGAAAAAATCCAATTAACCGAGGTTCAGAGCGGATTTGTTGGCGCCCCGTCCTCGGGCCTCGGCCGCCGCGTTTCAAATTGCTGACGCGCGGAAATAACAAACGCGTCCGCACGCAACTGGACCCGAGCACCGGGGGCTTTTAAATCTCCGAGCACCGCGGCGCTTCGGACCCAGAGCTACGAATTTTTGTTCCGCAGTGGTCGGATCCCGAAGGTCGATNCCGTGGGTCTCGAGGCTGGTTAGAAATTAGACCCCCGTTGGCAACTTCTGCCGGGCTGCGAACAGCCAGTGGACCGATATTGAATCGCGTCCGCACCCCTTTCTCGTCTCATAACGCGAGACCCGGGCTCGCGAGGCAACAGATGTACCTGATACATATTCATATCCGGGCTCACGGGGCTCTCCGCGTTATTGTTACTGTTATTATTGTCGGGCCCGAGACAGTCGGCCGTAATGGCGCCGAGAAGGAACCTCCGACTGCTCCCGGTTCCCGCTCTGACCGCGGCTAATTTCAGCCCCCGACCCCCGATTACGGTTATCGGCGTCGCCGGCAGCGGCACCCTTCTCGGCGGTGTCTTCTCTTTACGAGCCGCAACGTTCGCCATTTTTTTCCCGCGAAAGATCCCGCGCGGATTTTCCGCCGGGCGAATTCGAGAATCGGCGCTCTGGCCCGAGCCGGCCCGAGGGGGAGGTGGCGGAGAACTGCGGAGAAAGTTCGTCGACAAAAATATCGCCGGGGATTGCAGGAAATCCGTGAAACCGCAGAGGATCGAAGTTTCCCCCGGCGAGGGTCGGATTTTCTGGTTACGCAGCCGGACCGGCGAAACGAAGCCAGCCGGAAGTTCGAAACTTCTCCATAACGCGGCCGAATTAATGGCAATTAATGGCAGCCGTGTTTGCCGGTCGGCTGTACACAAGGGCCTGTTTGCGCAGCCAGCTCTCGGCGGCTCGCGGGCCGCGCAGCAACGCGTAAATCTCCACTCTCGTTTTCGTAGCCAAGACGGGGCACGGATCGAGGGTCCTTTGACAGCGTCCGACAAACAGACCCTAATGAATTGCTTGTTATTCGAAAGCGGGGAAAAAATCCAATTAACCGAGGTTCAGAGCGGATTTGTTGGCGCCCCGTCCTCGGGCCTCGGCCGCCGCGTTTCAAATTGCTGACGCGCGGAAATAACAAACGCGTCCGCACGCAACTGGACCCGAGCACCGGGGGCTTTTAAATCTCCGAGCACCGCGGCGCTTCGGACCCAGAGCTACGAATTTTTGTTCCGCAGTGGTCGGATCCCGAAGGTCGATTCCAGAGGAATAGGTCACGAAAATTGCTGCACGATAATAACTGCTGCGTAACCATTTGAATGCGCGTCTAGCCGTGAAGATGACATTTCAGCTGCTCTCTTGCAAAAAATTGGGACCGAGAGAGACGCAGAAACGATCGTGCTTGCGTTTAGATCAAATTCTTCCAGTGAAGTACAGCGTCTGACGAATCGATAGACGGAGCAATACTAACCGCAGCATCCATAAAATCGTCAGCAAGTGGCGCCGCGCGGTGTCAAAGACGTTCGAATCCGCTCGAAACCGAGCCGGAAGTTCGGGGGAGGAGGGATGAGCGACGTCGTAAAATAACCGAACAGGAGGAAACTTCTTTGACGGTTTCGAATCGAGCAAAGCAACGTATTCCCAACGTGCGTCGTGCACTTCCGCGGTTTTATGGGTCGTAAACAATGCCCGAGAGCAAGGAAGGCCCCCGCGGAATGGAAAAGCCGCGAACGTGTTTTCCTGCTCGCGGTGTCTATTTATCGCCGCGATATCGACTTTCCTTGTTCGTGATCCGAGGTTCCTCGAGGCACTCGAAGGCTGCGAGAGATCGCCGATAAGAAAGCGTTTACGTCGTCACGCGGCAACAACACCTCGTTGCTAGGTGTTTGTTGTTTGCCCGAGACGATGACCGCACCCTCCGCCGATCCACCAATTAGCCAACGGGGATGACAGCAATTAAACGGCGAAAGGGTCCGAGAGTTTCGAGAACAAGGGTGCGCGAGTTTTTCGGCCCTCCGCCGCGGTACATCCGGCCGAACTCCAGGGAAATGTTGGTTTTCGCGGTCGGAGCTCTCGTGCGGACTGCCCTCAGCCCGTTTCGTGCCTGCGAAATCGCGGGCATCCACGTTTTAAGCCCCCTTTACACCGACAGGTTCGTACCGCTCCTAGTCGCACCCCCGCACACTTGCGCTGCGGGGCTGCGAAAGCAAAAACTGAAATTCTGTGCTTCGGACGTTTCAGTCGCTGCGTTCGCTACTTTACAACTCGTCTGCTTTCTGGGCTGTATTTTTATTATTTCTTTTTTCATTGTGGCAAAGGCTTTGCAACGTTTTCTCTTGCTTTGAGAACTCTTCCTCCCCTTCTCACGCCGCTTTTACTGCTGAAACTAGCTTACTAGCTTACTAGTTAATGAATCACGGATTTTTGTGGAACTTAAAAATTGTCCGTCTTATTCACTAAAAATGTAACAGTCTAGGTTGACTTATAATGTTATTTATTATTTCGTTTAACATACTTTTCAATATACTTCTGGATACGTTAGTCTTTGTATCGACCTCGATGAAACGTGAGACAAATTAAATCAATTGTTAGAAACTCGAATTACATATTTACGTGTGTCCAAATGGCATCGAGCACCCCCCTCCCCCCGAGTACAGATGTTACTCTGACCTTTAAAATTGGAATAAAAAATTCTAATCTCTTGTCATCAACATGAAAGCATTAGAGTAAATTTAGTCGACACGATAAGCATCAATTTTCTGTCCCTTCGAAGAAATTATTGCAATCGAAAAATTTCTAATCGCAGTAACTGCGAAGAAAATGGTATGTCAAGGGGTTGATCAACTGCGGATTTGAAACAAAAATTGTCTGTATCGATTGCAATTTACAGAATCTACACGGACATCTATTCCCGTTCTAATCAACTCGAATAAGTTGAATCACAATACAGCAGCGCCTTCAAATTCTTTACACGTTTCCGCTGTTTTTTTGTTTCAATTTAATCGACTCATTGTTAGAAGTGCTTAAAATCCTCGCTCCACTCGTCGAATATATTTACACAGACATAACAGAGCAATCCCCGATGCAAGGCAAAGAGACAGAAACGTCCCCCGAAAAATCCGGCAAATCTATGCTTCCTAAATTCCGAAAGTTCTCCGTCTGGAATCAGAAAATCCGCGACCGGCGTCGTCCCTTCGACCGAAGCGTTCGTCGCCAGCCGCTCGAAGGGTGGAAGCGCAAGAGTCCCGAATCTCCATTCCAGCCCTGAGCACACGGTGCATCGATCAACACCTCCCGGTAACAGGCTCTCGCTTTGAAAGCGCCCGGCTCGGCTAGGTTCCGCGGAGTCGCGAGAGCTTCCATCGTTTGCCCGTTCTCAGGGCGTCTCGGCGGGTCCCAGGTTGTTTCCCGTGGCGGAACGTCGTCGTCGGGCTGACGAGGAGGCGTCGTGACACGCGATAAGAGGACGTCGCAGGCAAAGTGTTTCCGAAAAGAACGTCGAAGCGAGTGCCGGCGAGGGTGGCAGACGTCGAGGCGCGGGGGCGGCGAACCGGGAAGAGGGGCGGCGGGGTGGCGCGGGAGGAAGAGAACCGTGAAAAAGAAGAGGCTCGACGTCAGCAGATCGAAGGTTCCACTTTCGCCGGGGGTGGCTCGGGTATTGGAAAAGCCTCGGGAAGAATGGGGAAAGGCCTCGGCTGCATGCAACCTTCGAATAATATCATCCGAATATTGGAGACGCGACTGCCGCTAGCGCGCTCGTAAACCGACGAGGATATGAATGCGGATAGCTCAATTTTCCGCGGCTGCCGCCCCGGCTAACACGCAAGACGTGACGGCTTTGTCGGCGACACGGCCGCCACCTCGTCCCGCGACCATTTTCCTCTCCGTTTCCTGCCCGCGTCCCCGCCCCGACACTCGCAAATGGATCGCGGCGAAATTATTGCCGCCGCTCGCGCACCTAATCCGCCTGATCCCGCGGAAAACTGCGCCGGATTACAAAACACACGCGACGGCTTTCGATACGCTTTACCACCAGCGCCCGAGCCGGGCTCTGATTTATGCGATTCCGGGATTCGACGCGCCATGATCGATGCTTTAATTCGCGGAATTAAGCGAACGCGATCGCGCGCGCTCCGATTTTCCGGGGGACGCCGCGGGGATGACGACGTCTTTTTCGTGATCTGCTGAATGGCTTTGCTAAGGGATGGTCCGAGTTGTATCGCTCGTCAGAGTCGGATGGCAACTTAAAGTAATTGTGAACTGTTTGTAGAATATTTCGGTAATTGGTAGCTCTTTAATTGCACGGAGTGGACCACGGGACGTGATCAGCTTCATTTATTCTGCGCAAATGGTTCGGTTGGAGAGTTCAGCTAAAATTACACGATTTAAGGAGATCTTTAACCCATTATCCGCCAATATTCCATTTTTCGGACAGTTTTCAAATGTTTTTCTTCTAGAAACTGCAACTGCTAAGTAAAATACAGGCATTAAAATAGCGAGAACATATCACGTGCTCCATGAAAGTATTATATTAAGAGAACTCCTGCTATTTTGCTTTAAATCATTGTAAACTTCCGGTTGAAACTAGTAATCTCAATTTAATTTTTCTTGTGTTTTTGAATTGCGGCTAGCGATGAGATGATCGTGCCAAATTTTCGGTCAACCCTTTCTTTCTAGCAAGGTCGCCTTCAGTTTTTTATAGATCGATCTACAATTTTTTGTACCGATCTTTCGGGGGACGTTAAACCAAAATTATAGGTTTACATATAAAAAGAAACCTTGATAATTCTGGAAAAAAGGATGACAAAAAATTTGGTACACGATCGTCTTAAAGCTGCTCTTAAACAGTGTCATTTTAGCTCAAAACATTTGCAATCGGACCACGAAGCTATTTCAACTGTAAATCTAAATTAACTTTTCTGTCTTATAGTATTTCCATTTTATGTCACAAAGTGCATTTCATGCATATGAAATTGAGTCTTGTGACTCCCATACAGCAGTTAGACTTTTAACAACTTTTTATATCTAAGCTTTGATAGTATAAAAATTATCTTAGAACATGATGTAACAATTTTTTTTTTCAATGGTGTCTCAGAGTCATCACTCGAGTGCAAAGGGTTAAGCTATAAAGCTCCCTACGGGATTATTAGCTATATATTCTGTAACATATTATTACAAAATTACTACTACATATGCAACATATTATACAATATTATTACATGTTACTTTGGATACATGAAACTTATCTAGTCAACAACTTATCTAGACAACAACTCATTGAACTTAAAATTTTGCCATCTCACCTCAGATTTTATTGTTCAAGCGTCTGGGTTCCGATGGTCAACCGGATTCGGCGATGATTGCAGATCGCGTTTAACGGGACCGGGCATCGGCGAATGTTTCGGGGTGCCGTCGCCGTGAGACATCTCCCAACTGGCACCAGAAACGACAAGAAGAAAGATGTCGGATTCGGAGGGTAGCGTGGAGAGCGTCCACGGCTCGGAGAAGTCGGAAACGCGGGAGGAAATCATGGTGCCGTTGCCAAATCGGCAGAATCCGAGTGGCGACAAGCTCGAGGAATTCGAGAAGCTGCTTCAATCGATGATGGAGTCCCGTTCACCCTCGCAGGAGGCGGAGGAGCCTGACGAGAACGAGAGTGAAAGGAAGATAGGTTCGTCCTCGACACTTTCGCTTCTGTTATCCTAACCGCGCGCGGCGATGCCTCGCTGCTTGCCCATTCGATGATCCTTCGATCCTCCACCCTTTCTCTCAGGCATTCCTTCTTTCGAATTCCTTCACGCCGAGTTCCTAGAACTTCTAGCGACAACACCGTCGCGCCAGAACCGCGGATCCTCGCCGAGCAATAAATAATAAAAAGTCCCGCGGCACTCGGGAACTCTCTGCCAACTTGCGTCTTGTTGGTTTAACATTTTCGCGAGGCGAACGCCCGAAGACGGCGAAACAAAAGCAAACCAATTTGCGCGAAGGAAACGCCTGAGAAAAGTCCAGCGCGAAGGAAGCGAGGCTTTAAAATTTAATTGAATCGCTCCACCGGCGAATAAAAAAGAAAAAGAAGATCCCTCCGAGGTACAAGGTGTACGTCCCAGGAACGTCCGCCTTCGACTTTCGAGCCACCCGATAGCTCGCGAAGTCGTCGTCGCTGGCCCTCGACTCGGAGAAGACACGCGTGTAAGAAGCTGGTTCTCGTCTAGCGCGGAACCCTCTCGGTTCTCGAGCGAGGGTGGTGTCGGGGTGGGTCAGGGGATGCAGTTTCGCAGTGGAAACTCAGGTAACCTGTTGAGAGGGGGCGGTGGAGTGGGCGAAAATGGAGAGCTTGCTGCAGCTTAACTCCGAGAATTTCCCAGACGCTCGCCAAGGGCATTTCCAGGGAAAGTGGCTCAGCAGCCGGTTCAGGGGGGTGCGCGGCGGTGGAACAAGGCGCGGAGAAGGGAACCCCTCCGCAGGGGCCGGGAGGGTGGAAATTTCTTCCCGTGGCTGGGGGATTAAGTTCCGCCGCCCGAAACGTCGCGGTCTCTCTCTCTCTCTCTCTCTCTCTCTTTCTCTCTCTCACGTCGTTTTCTTTCGTCTTTTTCTTCCCCCGACTCCATTCTTATTCCCGCCCGCTTTTACGGGGCGAGTGAGAGCGCGGGCAACCAGATGGTAACGCGAACTTTAATGATCTTTTTCGTGGCTCGGTAGACCCGGCCGGAAATTAGCGAACGCGCGAACTTGCTAGCCGGGAGCCCTTTTGCTTTTGTATTCCGTCGTCGTCGCCGTCGTCGTCGCGAGATCCCGGGGAGGAAGGTGGGGAAAAAAAAGATTTTTCGAACTGTTCTGGGAGCTCGTTTGCATTCGTCCTCGTCCTCCAGTGCTTCTTCAACGAAGCCCCCCGCCCTTCTATTCTTAGCAGACACTCGGAGGACCGTGTCGAGATAGCCGAGAGGGTGGATTTTTCGAAGATCCGCGACGCCGCCGTTCGTTTTTCGGCCTTGTTAATCGACGGACGTGTCCAGGGGCTCCTGGAAGCCTTCGACGAAGATTAACTGCGCGAAGGGGGTGTGGGAATTATTCGAGGAAAGGCCACCGGCGACGTGGCTCTCCGCCTACGCGCGTGGAATTAACGATCGCCGCGAGAATCGAAGCGGCGACTTTTGCCGAGTCAGTGGAACGAGACGAGCATGGTCAGACGACCGTTCAACCACGGACCCGTTGCTGAAAGCTCGCGTGGAAATCAGCCGGTTAATCGTGAACAGGATGATAATACGTGCGGCGCGCGTTCGCGGAGGATCATTCGACGCGCAAAAAATGTGGAGCAAGAAGAGATTTCTGGCTGGCCGCCCTGGCTTCATTGAAAGCGAGAGCAGCGAAGCCACGCCCATTACCCTATCCAGTTCGGTGTCCTCGAGGCTTCTTCTGTTTTCTTTGGATCGATGCGATCCGGAGACGGGTCCGGGGAAAAATCAAGAGCAGGAATGCCACGCCCACTCGCCCGAGGCCGGACCAGCGGGACAAGCACCGACTATAACAATCGTAGAAAGGAAAATTCGAGGCCGTTTCCCGCTTCGATCAGATACATTGCCATAAAAAAAGCGAGCTCTCCGAGTGCCCCGCACGGCAAGATGGTCGCCTCCTACCCCTCTGCCGCGATGCGTCGGGCCACCCCAACGACGCTTATCGACGTGTTTACGGTTATTTCTTGGCCACGGGGCCGTGGATAAGGATCGAGCGAGCTACGCCGCTCGGTTATTAGCGATTCAGAAGGGAAAAACTTCGGAGCCACGAAAAGATCGGGCCGGTAAATCATCCCCGGCGGAGTCGTCGCGTGAGAGACGGGGCCCCGCCATGAATCAGCGAGCGGACGCGGCCAGAACCGCTCCTCTCGGCGTTGCACGCGCGGCTCGATACGCTCGCGGTGCAGCGGCGGTAACTGCTTTAATTACGATGCATCGGGGAGATTTAGGGCGGCGCGTAACGACACCGGGCGACCGCAGCTGTTGCCAAATTCGCGGCGTCGCCGGCCCGCGGCTTCCGACCGATCCGAAACGCCGCGCCGCCGACCCGCCCTAAATTCGACCGTGAATTTCCCGTGCGAACCGGAGCGCCGCGCCGCTGTCCCGCGCGACGTCGTCGGCCAAATTAAACTCATAAAACGTCCGGAACCGACGCGACCCCGCATTAGAGACAGCTCCGAGGGCCTCGAACGCGTTCCACGGTATTATACGACGCCGTTCGCTTGTAAACCCGCCGAGTTTCCGTTAGTATAAAGGCGGAAACTGATCCCGGCCCTGCGAAACGCGTACCAGGCCAGTTCGAGACTGCCGAGCAGACGACTGGTCGCTTTTGTTCTGCTCGGCAAGATTACTGTTGGACTTCAGTGTGGTCCACAGATTTGTTTCAAAGTCTTTCGAAAGATTACGGTGTCATTTGTCTCGTTTATACATGGATTAAAACATTCGTCATAATTAAGTAAGCAATCTGCATTCCGACGAAGTATATGAATAATTAAAATAATTAGTTTCGCTTGAATTTCGTGACTTTGTGATATCTTGGATTTCGAAGTTTTAAGCACTGCTTTTTTATTATAGATGAAGAAGTTCTTTCGAATGTAGTAGTTGAAGAGTTGATTTTTCTGGCATAACATGTACTCTAAATTTGATTCAGATTTAGTTTCAGTATCAGTTTCCCTAACTAAACCGATTCGCAGTTGCGGAATACAGTAATGTCTCCCTAACTGTCGCTCAGATTCTGCGCAAAGATGGACAATTTGGGAAGAGGAGATGCGATTATTCGAGCCTCGCGGTTCGTTTTTATAATTACGAATTGTCAGCAACTATAAAATAACGAGCAGCAAGGTTCGAATAATCGTATCTCCTCTTCCCGAATTGTCCATTTTCGTGGGCAATCTGAGCGTCAATTGGAGAGACATTACAGTATCGAGAACTCGCGTCGCGTCGGCGAACATAACATATAGTTTCCAAAAATTGTCGCAACGAGATCGGCCGAATTGAACGCGTGGCCGTGCGATGATGGATTCGACGGTCCGCGACGGTGTCGGGCCAACGGCCGTGATTAAAATAATAAATTGCCGGGACGGGTTGAAATTAGCACCGCAACAGAGAGCGCACCCCCGCCGCAGAGCACGGATATACTCTGAATTATAAATGCCTCCGAGGGCGTTGCCTTCCGTTGCTCGTAAGGAAACTCGTCGCCGAAGGGAGGACAGAATTTTCGCTGAAGTTCGCTACGTCCCTGGCGGCGGGCCAATTCGATCTCACGGCCGGCTCGTTTTCGGAATTGTGCCCGTTTAGATTTACGGAAAAAGTGTTACACAGTTCCGTGGCTCGCCCTCTGCCGCGGCCGCGATCGCGACATTTCGCGATGCCGTTTATTGCGAAACGAGAACGTCGGATCGTATTAGCTCTCGGCCATTATCGAACGGAATTCGTGGCACCGAGAGGGAAAGTGTACTAGTTCGTGGACAGATTGGAATGCCAGATTGCAGCGAGTTATTTCGGCGTTTCTGGCCGCGGTCATAGAAACCTGTTAATATCTCGCTGTACTCTGAACTTTAACTCGGAAGTTACACTCGGAGTTCGCGTTTCGGGTTTATCGAAAATCTGCTCGTTTTGTGTTTCTCCAATTTTGTTTTTTACGTTTTATTTCATTGTATTTACGTATGTACATGTGTGTGCATATACAGGGTGTTCCACAATTATTTTAACAGCCGAAAATGAGGGTTAGCTGAGGTCATTTGAAGTAACTTTTTCCTTTGCGAAAACGCGATCTGTGGCTTTGTTTACGAGTTATTAACGGAAAACACTGAGGTATTGAACAAATGACGAATAACCTTGATATATCAAGGTCATATCAAGATTATGTCAAGGTCATATCAAGGTTATGTTAAGGTCATGTCAAGGTCATGTAAGGTCATATCAAGGTTATGTCAAGGTCATGTCAAAGTCAACATATGAAATTTTTAAGTAAGGTGTAATAATTCCGTGTCCGAACACAGTTCAACAATTGATTCGCAAAGCTAATTTAATAAATAATAATCGTGTTTAAAGGACGTAAGGGATATGTTTGTTAGAGAAATATACCTTGACATAACATTGATATGACCTTGACATGACCTTGACATAACCTTGACAAATCCCATGCGTCCTTTAACGCGATTATTATTTATTACATTAGCTTTGCGAATCATTCGTTGAACTGTGTTCGGACACGGAATTATTTAAATTAAAATATCATTTCGTACTTTGTTAATCTTCACTGTATACCTTACTTAAAAATTTCATATGTTGACCTTGACATGACCTTGACATAACCTTGACGTGACCTTGACATAACCTTGACATAACCTTGACGTGACCTTGACATAACCTTGATATGACCTTGACATAACCTTGACATGACCTTGACATGACCTTGATATGACCTTGATATGACCTTGACATAACCTTGACATAACCTTGACATAACCTTGATATGACCTTGACATAACCTTGACATGACCTTGACATAACCTTGATATGACCTTGATATGACCTTGACATAACCTTGACATAACTTTGATATGACCTTGACATGACCTTGATATGACCTTGATATGACCTTGACATGAGAGTTAACATTATTCTTGTTCTTTCTATATTCTTCTGTTTCTGTTAT